CATGCTAATGACTAGAATATAGTCTATGATACAAAGTGTCTGATCCAATGTCTAAGACTAATTTAATGGCACTTTATAATAATAATCTTCAGTAGCTGTCAGCAAATGCTTACATAATATCAACATATGTACAGTGGTCTCTCCACTGACTAACCTATACTAAATAGAAAAGAATCTGAACTAAAGAAGAAGCAAAGAAAAGTCAAACATGAAATGTAAACCAATGAGCAACAACAAACAGATCATTCTATTAACTTTTATAATCAATAACAAGACTTAGTTATTGAAAATTTAAAGGTAGCTCACAGTAACTATGAAGACATGGTGGGCTGGGACTTGGCTCATGTGGTACAGTGCTTGGCTAGCAAGTCTGAGACTCTGAGTTCAAATCTCCCTTGCACAAAAGACATAGTATCATCGTTATAAGCCAAGGTCATACATAACGCTAACTTAGTAGAACCTGGGTATTGTATGCAAATATCATATATATTACTTATGACCTTTAAACTAGCTGTTCTGTGTTAACCAGGTCTTATGACAGAAGACAATAATGTGCTTTTGTCAAAGGAAAAAATATTACACTGAGCTTTAATTCAGAAAACCAATATGACAAAACAACACAAAAATAAAATTTAAGAAAACTAAAAAAATAAATTTCACATAGGACAAAACTACTTCATTTTTTTTAAACAAAATTGATCACATGGCTAAGTCTACAATATTTCCTTCTAAGCATAGTTTTTCAAAATTCAATCAGTTTTAAATGTAAAAATTTGCAATAAATAAACTATTGACTTAAAAGTTTCATAAGTCAGGCTTTAAAAAAATGCTTTAGAGTTTTTCCCTATCCATTTTCTCACAAGATTAATAAATTTAAGACATTTCTACATTGCTTAAAAGTCTCCAAAAATGTTTTTAACTAACACTGTAAAACTGTTCGAATTTCATGTGCCAATTTTACTGTGTGCTAAAAAATAAACCAGCAGTGCCACCAAATGACAAAACTGAAAAATTCACAAAAAGGGAGGACAGGTTTATCAACACATAAAACTAAGAGTTAACCTACTCTTGAGGCACAGGGCAATAAGTATTATTTCATTTTTATATGGATTTAATGTATATTACAAAAATAATTAAAATGTAATGTGTATTACAAAAATATAAAAACTATAAAATATTAAAAGTATGTAAAATTACAAAAATATTAAAATTTAAAAGGTCATTTTAAAATGAATAAAAACAATTCATGTTTATTCACAGGTGAAAGAGTTAAATACAATTAAAAATGAGCCCATCATATTCAAAATACTCTCTGACCTAACCAAGAATATTCCTAATCCTACTTTTCACTGAATTTATTCATGAATATGAATAAAAAATTCATATTTTAATATATAATAATTTCATATGTAGTTGTAGACAGTCTAAAGATATATATGACCAAAATTATCAAATTTATATATAATGTCTTAAGACCTTCTTTTTGAAGAATGCAGGTTGAGCATTTCTAATTCAAACATCCAAAATGCTCGGATTTATAATGTTTTGAGCATTGAAATGACAGCCCAAGTGGAAAATTCTACACCTGACCTCATGTGATGTGTTGTAGTCAAATACATAAAATTATTTAAAATATATTGTATAAAATTAACCATCAGATATGTGTACAAGGTATATATGAGACATGAATTAATTTTGTGCTTACACTTGGATCCCAATCCCAACATACCTCATTATATATATGTAAATATTCCAAAATAAAGAAGAATCAGAAATACTCTGGCTCAAGTATTTCAGATAAAGGATACTTAACCTGATTCCCATAGCATAAAGGTATTTGTGTGTGAACAATGTTTCTGAACTAGTATTGGTATAATACTTTTATAAGAAAGCCTATGAATAAAAGTAGACAGAAGTGAAAAGTGTGTTACCCTGGAGGAAGTACTGTAGACAAAGAGAAATAGAAATGAAACACAGGTGAAAGAATTAAATACAATTAAAAATGAACTCATCATATTAAAATACTCTCTGACCTAACCAAGAATATTCCTAATCCTACTTTCCATTGAATTTAGATTTTTAAATACATTCTTTTCTTTTAAAAATTTAATTGAATCTATTTTCCTTACCTGTTCTACTTATAATATGAACATACATATTGCCTTTCTGGCTGAGAAAAGCAATACTATGTAATTTGGAAAATAAAAAAGACCTATCATCATATATTTAAGTTCCGTTTAGTACTATAATTTTCACCATTAAATACGGCAAAGAGAAAATTACATAAAATTAGGTATACACTGCCAAAGAATCAGAATAATTAAGGTAGTGATTTTTATCCTTTGTTAGATCAGGTATACTTTTGAAAAGTCAAAGAAAGATATGAGGTCTATCTGGAGAATATGTACTAGCATTAGCATACATATAATAACATTTTTAATTAATATTCCAGGGAGTTAATAATGGTATCTCCAACTCTGAATACCATGCCAACCATTCCTGAGTTACAGCAATGGTCAGTAAGTAAATATAGACATAAGAGTCCTCCATAAAACACAGAATATGACATATTAGACTTTCCATTTAAATCATTACTTGCTAAAATAACTTTAATCCATTTTATGTAGATTAAGTTATAGTTAAGTACTTACACCATGAAGACTGATTTTTCTAGATAATTTAGATAAAGCAATATTAGAGATAAAGCCCTTTGCCTAAGATACAAGGAAACACAGGCCCATAAACATTAAGCCATTCCCCAAATAGTCTAATTAATTGGCAGAGCTGAGACAAAAACTCAGGTATTCTTATTTCTAGCTTCATTTTTTTCTCCCTGACTATACCACAATAAAGTCAATAAACATATGTTTACTAAACAACTCTATGCACATATCTGAAATATGATGAATCACAACAAAAGTCCCAATGAATTTATTTCTTTTACTGTTCACCTGAACTATGCTGAGCATTCTACATGGTGAATCACCTAATACTATTTGCTTCAAAACAATGAAAGTTAGCTCTGGAGGGAGAGAAGCAGAGAAAGAAGGGTAACATTAGACATGGTTAATGCTTGGCCTTCCCATTAAAAAAAGGACCAAAACAACAAATAAACTATGTTTTAACCACTGTGAGTAAAGGAGAGTAACTAGCGAGAAATTAGCAGAGTAGCCTAAACCTTGTGGAGCACAGAAGTTCAAGCTGGCCAATATAGAGGAGGGAAGGAAACACTTTGCCTCTGCCTCTCTAATTTCCCAGTTAGGATCACTTTAGAACCAGGAGGGACTTCTGCCTGGGGGTGGAAGGGAAGTTAAAAAGCCCTGACACCACTCATTACCACTGTAGATACCAGCACTCTTCACTACTGGAGAATCCTGCAGTTCTCAGAGGTCTGAACACTAACTTAGGAAGATGCCTGAAATCTACATGGTAGTACAAACTGCAGAGGAGGAGCCTATGTTGTACATTGCCTGCTGTCACCAAACTCCTACTGTGCTGTGCCATCTTGAAACTATGGCCAGTGCTGCTTCCTGGAGCACAAGCCACAGCTGCACCCTGCCATTCTTGGGTTGCTGCTGCTGCATCTAGTCTAATAGAGCCTAGACCACTGTTACGTCCCACCACTCCAGAATCCAGAATCATCACAACAAGGTACCTCCTCTTTTGGTGCCCAAGTTGCTTCTATGCCCTACTGACACCAGAACCCAAAATGTACCCTGCTTCCCAGGGCCTGAGTCTCTAGTACCAACCCTCTTTCCCAGACCTGCACTGGTTTTGCACACTGAGCACGAGAATCAGATGCATAGTCCTTAAATTTGTGGGAGAGCCTTGTCAACTTGTGCTTCAGAGAGTAAACTTGTTCCAAAATCATAGGTACAACAGAATTTCATTAAGACACTTCCAAGTGTTCCACAGCCACTCCAAGAACCTGTGCCCTGGAACACAGTACCTCTGTGGCTCATGGTGGGAATGTCAAAGCTGACACTGACAGGGATCCCCTCAACTGAATCTTCCCACTGTGAGGAAAATGAGAACAGGAGGACCCATGAAACCACTGCCATTGAGAACCCTAATAACCTAAGTTGCCACCTCTGCTATCATAGACTCTTACAGTCTAGAGCACTGAAGTACTCACAGATACTGCTGAAGAACACTACATGGAGACTACATTACCATCTCACTCAAACCAGATTCAATGCACCCTGCCCAAGTGATATCTGAGGACTCATTTATAGGTGAAAGTCTTTCCCTAATAAAGCCACTCAAAAATTTGGAAGAATTGACCTTTCCAATAGATGTACAGACATCAATTCAGTGATACAAGAAACATGGAAAGAGAAACATGACAACACCAAAGAGACAAAACAGTTCTCTAATAACTGACCTCTTGCAAATAGAAATTTACAAATTGCCTGAAAGGAGGGCTAGGTGTATTGTTTAAGTAGGAGAGCACCTGACTAGCAAGCACAAGGCCCAGTAACCACACACAAAAAAAAATTTTCCTGAAAGGAATTCAAAATTATGATCTTCAGAAAACTCAGGGAGATACACACACAATTCAATGAAATCAGGAAAACAATTTCATGATCTGAAGGAAAAATTCAAATAAACAGATATAAAAAAAGAATCAAACACAAATCTTGGAGTTGAAGAACTGAATGAATAAAATAAAAAATGCAACTGAGAGCTTTGGTAGCAGATAGCTTGAACAGAGGGAAAGGAAAAAGAGTGAAGAAAGCCTATGAGACTATGAGACACCGATAAGTGAGCAATATTTGCATTATGGGAGTTCAAGAAGATGAAGAGGTGGACAAAGTCACAGAGGCTTATTTAGAGAAAAAATGGTGAATTCTTTCCAAGTTTTGTGAAAGATATGGACATTCATATCTATGAAGATCAAAAGTCCTCAGACAGTTTCAACCCAAAGAGGTCCTTACAGAGGCACATATCAGAATGCCAAAACACAAAGAGGGAACTTCAAAGGCAGCTGGAGAAAAGCATTATATGACATACATGGCAATCTCCATGACATTAATAAGTGGATTCCTCTGTAGAAATGCTGTGGGCTAGAAGAGAATGGGAAGATACATTCAAAGTATTGAAAAAAATTGACAGCCAATACTACCATCAGCAAAGCTATCTTCAAAAATGAAGTCTTTTCCAGATAATTATCTTATCTGAAGCTGAAAACTTCACCACTGGGCCTGCCTTATAAAAAATGTGCAAGGAAATTCCACAAGAAACAAAAGAGCAGTAATTACAATTATGAAAATATATTAAAGTATAAAACTCACTAGCAGAGGTAAATGTAGTCAAATACAGAATACTTCATTACAGTTAATGGTGGTATTTAAAATAGTCTATTATAACTATGTGGTGTTTTATGTAAGCCTCTTGGTAAGCACAAAGCAAAAAAAAAAAAAAAAAAGTACCATAGCAAACACCCAAATGAGAAAGAGAAAGAAATCAAAGCTTAGCATTATAGAAAATCAATCACAAAAGTAGATAACAGATGAAAACAGGACCAAAAGATATACAACATAACCAGAAAAAAATTTTTTAAATGACAGGATTATATTCTTAGCTATCAACAATAACCTTGTATATAAATTGATTAAACGGTCTAGTCAAAGGACACAGAGTAGGCAAATGGATTTAAAAAACAGATCCAATTATGTTGTTAACAAGAGACTCACTTTAACCTTAAGGATACACAAAGGCTGAAAGTGAAGGGATTGAAGATATTCCATGCAAATAGTAACCAAGAGAAAGCAGAATGGCTATACATATATCAGTTAAAACAGACTTCAAGACAAAATAGTCAGAAGAGGCAAATAAGGCTATCATTTAATGATAAAGGGGTCAATTCATCAAAAGGCTACAGCAATTGTATGTGTTTGTATCCACTCAACATTGAAGGATCTAAATATACAAAGCAAATATTAACAGACATAAAAGGAGAAATATATGGCAATACGAAAGTAGGGGATTTTAATACCCTATTTTAATGATAGATATGTCAACCAGATGGGAAAAAAGTTTACAATGCTTTTTCATTCCCTAAAGATCAAAGACGTAGGTTTTTTTCTTGAACTACATAATAAGTATATAGATGTTTTTGGAAGTGTGTTGGATGGGTATATTGACACCTAGGGTAGTCTTCTAGTAGTAGATAAGCCTGACTCTAAACGGTCATGTGAGGAAATTAACTATGCCACTATATATAATTACCCAATAAAAATAATATATAATAAAGAGTGTAGAATACTTTCTTAGAGATAAAGCAGTATTCCATGTAATTTGATGAATAATGTACATAAAGTTGTAGAACTATAAACCCTAACAGTGTTTCCAGAGCTGTTCCCTGTCCCTTTCCTCCATCACTACTACCATCAACAACACAATTTCTCTTCTTAGGGAAAGTTAGTTTAATGCTAAAAGTTCACCAGAGAGGCTTTGGAACTGGGGCCCTCAGCATAAGTAGAATCTTTGTTTTGGTTTACTTGAATCCTTTGATAATAAATAACTATTATCTTGTAGCGATTTCCGGAACTACATTAACATCCAGTAATCTTGATATAAGGAACATGGCTCCAAATGGATTTCATGATGTGTCTTTAAGTGAATGAGGGTGATGGTGAGACCAGGGATAAGAATATTCTAAGGTAGCCAGAAAGGGAGAGGCTGTCCACAATGGAAGAAGTCTTATAGGCATATATGTGAAGTCTAAAGCTAGAAATAGAAATGAAATATGCAAGAGCTAAATGCAACAAAGAAGGAACTCACCACATTCAAAGTATAGTTTCTGATCTAACAAGGAAAGAGAATTCTATAGACATGTTGCTTGAATTGATGTTAAGAAATTCGCACATTTGGTTCCATGCTATGATAACTTACATAAAAATTAAGAGATTTGTTTATAGATGCAGAACTACAACCCAGGGATGTCAATAGAAGTGTTGAGCACCAACGAGAATGAGAAGGACTGTTTATATATATGGCTACTAAGTGAACACATATATGTCTGTACTAACTCTTGGACAGTTGTGATATTGTTGAAAGAGCAGGAAATGAGAAACATGATGTAAAAAGAAAACCTGTGCAGGGAATTGCTCTTTAGAGAACCATTATACAAGATATACATAAAATAGCATTTTAATGTTTGTGTGGACCATGTTTCAGTTTACTAAGGCCAAGAAAAAAATGACAAAACTCATGATTTGGGTTCTCTGAGGTATATTAACTTGAGCTGTTGGAAGCAAAATATTCTGAGTCACTTAAGTGAGTAACCCTACATGATTAGAGAAAAGGAAGCAGATCCCTTTGATAAATGTAGGCTATACCAGTAGACTACATGCCAACAGCAGAAAAACTAAGACACAAACATTCATCCTACTGTGGCAACACAAAGGTAACATAGCAAAGCAAGTGAACTATATATATATAAGCCTGCTGCCAAAATAGGGCCTGTGTGTATATACCGTTGGGAGTACATAGAGAATAGCTGACCCAGTCTCGAAGATTATAGGTATTGCATAATCAATGGCATGAAGACCACTATAAAATACTTTTTTGCCCAGGCCATTTGCATAAATTTGCATTTTCAAATAAGGCTAAACTGAACTGAGCACACAAACTTGCCATATTTGATGGATAAATTACTATCCCAACTACCTTCATAGGCTAGCTAAGTGGGATGTTAAATTGGATTATTAAAGACTGATCAAAAAACTACAAAGGATCAGTGGCCCTTAAAGCTTGCAATTATGGTATTGTAGCTAAACACAAGGATAACAATAGGATTACCACGAGGAAACCAAACTTAAAAACAATATCCAGGGACTTTTATACCGATTCATCCTGATACAATCCTTGCCTGCTGTGAAAATCAGCAGAGGCCTGAATGCTTTGTTTCTTGGGCTGAAGATGTAATCCCAGAAGACCCAAAGGAGGTTGTTCCTAACTTCTGTATATGTATGGTGACAAGGTAGGCTCACAACTATTTTCAAGATCCGGGTAAGTTTGAAAGTGATTTGGGTAACAGAAGAAGAAATCATTGGCTCTGAATATAAAAAGGAATGATTTCTACTGCTGATAAATTTTGTTGTTACAACTTTTTCTTAGGGAAAATGCAATAAACTATCAGTTATTGTTTCATACTAGTGGCCTATTTATGCTATATCTGAAAAACAGGAGAAAAACAAGAAATGCTAGATTAAAAACATGATTCAAATAGCACAGTAATCTAAAGTCAGTTAAAATTTTGGTCAATGTGACAGGAAGTAATTACCAGACACACTTGGGGAAGAAGTGACACTTTAGCATAGTGATTGTTCCATTATTCAACCTTAATCAAGCTAAGAATGAAGTTCAGGAAAGGAAAGTGTAAGAGGAAGGGAAGTTTATTTAGACTTTTAAGAAAACATAACTAGCAGAGGGTGGAGAAATCAGTATAGTTGTTACCTAAAATTACTCTGAACAGAAATAAAAGGAAATTTGTTTCCTTAAGACTTTTTTTTTTTTTTTTGGGCAGCAGGAGCAGTAGTACTGGGCTTTGAACTCTGGGCCTCAACTTGCAAGGCTAGTGGCTCTACCACTTAAGCCACTCCACCAGCCCTTTTTTGTGTTGCGTATTTTCAGGGTAGGGTCTTGCAAACTATTTGCCTGGGCTGGCTTCAAACTGCCATCCTCCCAATCTAGGCCTCCTGAGTAGCTAGGATTTACAGTTGTGAGCCACTGGCACCCAGCCAGAAAAATACTTAGTCTTATTTCTGACTTTGGGAGTTCTGATTCTTTTATTTACTCTTGTAAATCTAACTGATTCTTTTTCTTTGTGGATCTAGTAAGAAGAGAATCTTCCTGTAGATAACATCAATGGGTAGATTAACAAACATAATCATATTAACAATTAGACACAAGATTTATGATAAAATTATTAAGCATATTTTGGTTAAAACACTACAAAATACATAAAGGCTTTAACACTGGGTAGCGAACAACAGTTCTTAAGTTATCTTGTAAGCTTAATGTAATACCAATACAAATTCCAACAGGATTAAAAATTACATTAAAATTCATTTGGTAAAGAAAAAGAAAGAACATGACTAAGGAGAACAAATGTAAAAAGGAGAGTAAAGGCAAAATGAAGGCAGAGTCCTATTAGAAATGAAAACATTCTAAGCCTCTAACCAACATAATAAGGTAGAGTAGAACAAGGAGATAGAGACAGCAGAGGAAAAAGCCCATATGTGCTTGCTGCACATATGCATAGACTGATTTTCTAGTACATATAAGAACTTAATGAATTTTAAAGGTAGTATATAAATCAGTGGTAGAAGGAGAATGTAATCATTACATGATGCTGGGACTTTGGCTACTTGACAATATGCAAATAAAAAGTTAAAAAAGGAATACAATAAATTCTCATCTCAAATCAAACTCTAAAATAACTTCCCTGTATATTATTCTCAAATTGGAGGTAGAGATGGAGAAAGGGAGGGAGAGAGGAGAGAGGAAATAAGAAAAAAATTAAAACTATAAAACAGTAACACTGATTTACTACTTGGTAAGAAATATAGTAACTATATTAGCGAGATTAAGAATATGAAGTAAATCTTACATGTTCTTCCCACATTTTCTTTTCTCTCTCATATGCTTCCTTTCTCTTTCGTTCTAGTTGTTCTTTTAATACAGCAGCCCGTGCATTTGTTTGAGCCTGAAAATAAAAACTACTAAGAAAACTGGTTGTCACAAAGAGGGCATAGGTTCCCCCTACCCCTCAGGTCTATAAAAATACTGATGGTTTTAGCCAACAAAGATGTATGTGTCTGGCTCCAGAATAAAAATTAAGATTAACTATACCCTCAGCTCCTTGAATGAGGCAGGTATTCAATAAATACTTGTTGAATGAAAGTAAATGTAGGTACATTAGAATGTAAAGTAAAACTTAAACATTTAAAACAATTATGCACAACTTCATTTATCTTTAGAGAAACGGTAACTGTAGATTTCATTTTAAAGAATACTCAAGTTACAGGTTTTATGTATTCATGTCAGGATGTCATTTAATTGCTTTTTATAAATACAGCATAAAAAGAAAAAATCAATTTTCAAAATCCAAAAAAAAGATAAAGGGGAAAGAAAAATTAAAGCAAAAAGAATAAATACAAGTGATCTGAGGATGCAAAACTTAAGAACCCAATTTTCTACCTCAGCTTTCAATTTTCTCTAAGAAACAGTTATTATTTAGTCTATACCTTAAGAGATTCAATTTTTTTCCGCCTCAAGTCAGCTTCTTCACTTCCTTCTTGTACTTTGGCATTATCAGCTTCTTTCTACAAAATAAGTAGAAAAACACACCATTTAGGAAAGGACTGTTAAGTTTGGTCAGAATTTTGAGAGATAATCTAAATAAACTAAAATCTAAAAATGTGAAATGGACAATCATTCAGTACTGTTAGTTTTCTCCCAAAGCTGCAATCTAACACTCCACAACTATCAACTCAGAGGACAATGGAACAAAAGATAAAAAGAGAGTGAAATAAAATGCACATCAGTCCTTTCATGAACATTAGTTCCATTTTCTTTTCAGAATTCATCCGGAACAAATGGTCTTTGCAATTTTAAATCATGTAAGTAAGATTTACTTTATTCCTGTGTGCAGTTTTCTGGTCTTTGACTTTCACTCAATTTAAGTTTTTATTGACACAACATTTTTTTATCTTAATCTATTATTTAATTACTTTGCAAAACTTGATTTTCAACCTACCTGTTCACCACGAATTTTGGCTTTAATCTGTTGGCGTTCATTGAAATTCTGTAGTCGTATTTGTCTCAGTCTTGCCAGATAAACCTACACAAAGGAAAAAAACACCTTACATATTCATTTAAAAGAAAAACTATGAATATTTTTACTGCTAAAAATTTTAAGGAAAAGTGTTAATCTGAATACAAAAAATAAAAGTTCTGACATTTGGTTAATGGAAATGGAGTATTAGCTTTCAAAAGTCTAATTTAAAGCAAATTTATATCTGAAAATAAAGCAGTATGTTATAAATACAAATTTTTAATTTTATCAAAAGAAAAGAAATTGGAACTCAGAAGAATGGGACAAAATTATGACACAGCACATCAGTCAAAATGTATTAAAAGGTCCCTATAGACCTAGAAAATATTCAAATCATTGTTAAGCATTTAAACCATGCAAGAAAAGAAGGCAATAAACTCAAAAATGGCTGCATGACAGAGGTATGGAACATGCGGGAAGCATACCTCTTCCTCTTTGTTTCTTGGCTTCCCTCCTCTTGAAGAGCTGGACCTGCCTCCATACATAGATGCCAGGTTTTGCAGGATTCCCTGTTTATTATTTAAGTACTAAGTTTAAAGAATGACTACGGCTACATTGTCAAATCCATGTGCCACTTTATTTCTTTTGGAAAATACTGACCACTTCTAATTGCTAAACTGTGAAACTCTGGCATTTTCTATTTTGGTTGATTGGTTTATTTGTATGTTTATTAGAACCCAAGGCCTTACACATGCTAGGGAAGTGTACTGTCACTGAGCTATTTCCTTCAGCAATTTGGCATTTTCCTATATCAATTTAGCAAGTACATTCAGTGAGAAGAGAAGGAAGCAATTAAATTCCGAACATAATTACTCAAAAAAGAGACCAGCTATGTTTTTACTAGCCATTTAAGAGGTCTTAACAAGAGCTTTAGAAGTTAAAAACCCAAATCAGTTTTTTTGCCTTTAAAAAGAGCCAATCCATTTCTATATACATTTATTTACATACCACATACACATATAAATATTTGAGTAGAATGCTTCTGAATTCAACATATGTGTTGTATATTAATTATAAGATTTAAATCAAACTCTACTCTCAGGAATGCCCTGGTGCAAGTGTTCATTTCCATACCTAGACACAAACTAATTTTTGAACATAAGTAATCAAAAATATGGAATTATCTTATTAGACATTAATGTGCTTTAGCAAAACAGACTGTCAAATTATTTATTTTCTCTTCCTTCACTGTTCAAGTACCTCCCAACTTAAAAAAAAATCTTAGTCCCACTTCCCTAATATCTTTTATCAGCTCATTAAATGTGTATGTTTTATATTCATCATCTCCATTTTCCTGATTGCCATTCAATTTTAACCACCTATAATCTGCTTTTGGTACCACTACAATTCTAAAAGTGTTCTTAGGTCACTAAAAGCCTCAGAAATGACTCAAATAGAGACTATGGACATGGCTCAAGTAGAACAGCATTTACCTAGCAGCCAGGAGACTGAGTTCAATACTTAGTACCGGAAAAAAAAAAAAAGGAAATGATTCAAATGGAACCTTTTGAGCAATTTTTGCACTGAATATTTTCACTGAAAATTAGTTTTGACTAAATCATCTTACATATCTCTCCCTCATAACAAATTATTTACTGTAAAATTTAAAACATAAAATATGTATTATTTATAATCCTAATATTTGAAAAACTTAAAATTTAAGGGTATTATCTTCCAAATTTCCTTCTATTCATCTAGCTGAATGTACACATACTTATTTTTACAAAAGGCAAAATTACAGAATTATCCTGATTTTTTCACTTAATATTATATACTGAGACTCTTCTCACATTCATTTCATACAGTGTAAGAACGGACTTGGAGGAGAGGCAGAGGATATAGTTCAGAGATAGAGTGCTTGCCTAGAATGTACAAGGTCCTGGGTTTGATCCTCAGCATAGAAAAATAAATAAATAGGTGTTGGGGGTTGGCGACACTAGAAATAATATAAATTAAGAAACTCTTTTGGAAATCCAGAAGTCCAAAGAAGACAGACTGAGCTAAGGCAGAAATTGAAGGAACAATTGCAGCTTTATTAGGAGACAGAACGGGTAAGTTAGTAGTCATTTGTATTCGGTAGGTAAGAGAAAGGGAAAGAAAGATATCTCTCAGTTTGCTGATGTGGGTTGATGATCATGATCAATAACTGAGCTAGGAATAAGATCAGGTAGTAAAAATAATAATAAGATCAACTTTAGAAATTGATGTACCTTTGCTATATACAAGTGTTGTTCAGATGTCAATTTACAAATTCCAAATTCTATAGTTCAAGATAAAAGGATTATAAGGTTGGGTTTTGTAATGGTTGTTGCTTTTGGAGACTGGATCTCACTAAATTGCTCAGGCTGGCCTCAAGCTCCTCCTGCCTCAGCCTCTAGAGTAGCTAGGTATGAGTCTGGTGCCTCCTGTGCACCACCTTACTGTTGTTTACGTCATGAGGTAAAAGACAGATAGAAGTTATCTGTAAAGTTGTTGAGCAATAGTGGAGAACTAAGTATTACTATAGAGTATATAGTCTTTCTCTCATGGCATTTGAGAAATACAAGAATTTGAGTTTCTTTGAAATTAAATAAAACTTTATAGCTTGAAATATTCTAGATTCACAGAAAAATTAAAAGATATGTACAGGGAAATCCCATACACCGTTCACCAGCCTCTTCTAATTTTATCATTTCACATAACTGTAGCACACTATGAAAACCAGGAAACTGACATTGGTTTACCTGCTATACATGCACACATCTCTGTTATGTCTATTTATACAATTATTTTTTGTGGTGGTATTAGAGTTTGAACTCAGTGCTTCACGCTTGCTAGGCAGGCACTCTACAACTTGAGCCATACCTCGAGTTTGTATCTATACAATTTTATCACATGTGTAGCCTTCTGCAATCATACCATACTCAAGATACCTAACTATATCATTACATTTTATAGCTATTTCATTACTGCCATCCCTAACTCATCAATCACAAATCTGATCATTCCTATTATATTTCATGAATTATATATTGTAATACACAAAAATATAAATATATAGACTCATACAATATGTATCCTTTTGAGATAGCCTATTCTCATTCAAAAACAGTTTCCTTGTGGTTTGTTCAAGGTATTGGATGCACCAACAGTTCATTCCTGTCATTGCTAATATTCCATAGTAAGGATATGGTGGTACAGTATAGTTTGCTCATTCATTCATTCACCTATTAAAGGACATTTGGGTAATTTCAACTTCTTGGATATTATGACTAAACTTGCAGAAAATAACAAAAGAAGAACAAACAGACTTACTATGAAGATTCATGGACAAGTTTTTAAGTGAAAAAAGATTTCTTTAGGACATGAACTCAAGCCTGAAATTGTTGGCTGTTTGTATGCTAATAACATTTTTACTTTTAATTGGAACTGCTGAACTATTTTTCACAGTGACTATATCATTGTACAGACCCACCAATAAGGTATGGATGACCCAGGTTCAAAAATTTACCAGCATTTGCTTTTTACAGAATTATTTATTTTAGCCATTTAGATGTGTATAGTTATGTTTGCATTTCCCAAGTGGCTTATGAACATCCTTTCATGTGTTTACCATCTGTATATCTTCTTCAATGAAATGTTCAGCATGGTTACTGTTCATTATTAAATGGAGACTGTTTTTAATGCTGAATGTTGATGCTTCTCTATGCTCTAGATGTAAGCTCTTTGTTGGATATGTGGCTTACAAGTATTACTCCAAGTTGAAATTTATGTTTTCTTCCTCTTAAAAAGGTTTCTTTTCTTTCTTTCTTTGGGCTCATGCTCAGTTGGGTAAGTCCAACACTCTTTGCCTAGTGCTGGATCCTAAAATTTTCGTTTTTTTTACTACAAGTTTTACAGTTTTCTGTTTATACTAAAACCTATGCCTCTGTTCTGAATTAACTTATGAGGCGTGAGGTTTACCTCAAGAATTTTTTTGTTTGCTCACGGATGTTCAATCCCTTTAGCAATAATACTGAAAAAGGCTATCATCCCTCCAATGAGTATCTAATTTTTTTTTACTTTTTTATCAAGAGCAAATTAGGCATATTTCTGTGGATATATTTTTAGATTCTTCATGTTGTTCCATTGATCTACATTTCTATTCCTCCATTATACTTCATATTCATCACTATAGTCATAGTAAGTTACCCTTAAGATCAGAAGGCATTCTTCCCACTTCTTCATAATTTTCTGTCTACTATAAGGTCAAATTAAATTCATTTCATATGAATTTTAGAACAAGTCTGCCTATACATACCTGCCTATACTTCTGAATTTCTTTTTGTTCTGTGGTACTGGGGCTAAACGCAAGGCCTATACCTCAAACCACTCCATCAGCCCATTTTTTGTGATTTTTTTTTTCCAACATAGAATTACACCAACTATTTGCCCAGGCTGTCTTTGAACCGCTATCCCCTTGATCTCTGCCACCTGAGTAACTAGGATTACAGGCGTGAGCCACTGGCACCTGGCAACTTCTGAGATTTTAAGACGACTTACATTAAACACAGATCGGTTTAAGCAAAATTGCCACTTTCAATATATTAAGGTTTCTCGTTCATAAACATGGTATGATTTGCCAAACATTTAGGTCTTTGTTGATTTCATCAACACTTTATCATTTTAACGGCACAAATCTTGCATACATCTTACTACACGTTTTTCATTCTCTCTGGAGCAGCTGTAAACAGTACTGCATTTAAAAAATTAGGGTCCACTGCTCATTGTCAATATATATAAATTCAACTGATTTTTGTGTATTGATTTTATATTCTGCAACTAGAGTGCATTCACTTTTTAGTTATAGAAGCATTTCTATAGAATTGTTAGGGTTTTCTGTACAGATAACCTTTTCATTAAAAACAATAATAATTTTATTTCTTCTCTTCATACCTATATGCTTTTAATTTTTTTTCATTTGCCTTATTCCCTCTATTGCTAGTTTGCTATCAGCTTATCATAAATAGGTGGATTTTCTCAAGATTTTCAGAATCAATTGATATATAATTTTTATTCTTTAGTCTGTTAATATTGATTATATTGATTCTCTAATATTTAGACAGACTTGTATACCCAGACTAAATTCCACTTGATGTTGGGGGGGATTCAGTTTAGAAAACTTGGTTGGGGAGAATACTTGCATCTAAGATCATGAGAAATATTGGTCTGCAGTTTGTTTTTTGTGCTGTCTTTGGTTTGGGCAGTAGGGTAATATGGGTTCACTGGGTTACTATTTGCTGGAAGAGATTATATCATATCAAACTGGTGTAACTTCTTTGAATGTCTGTGAACTCTGCATTGAAACCATGGAAAATTATTTTCAACAGATTTTTTAAAATCACAAATACAATTTGAGACATTCCGCAAGTCCATTTTTGTAATTTTTTTTTTTTTTTTTTTAGAAAGGAACTATTTTCCTAGGCTGGCTTCTAACTGCGATCCTCGTGATCTCTGCCTCCTGAGTAAGTTAGGCTCACAGGTTGTGAGC